ATTTAATAGCTTTTACCAAAAATAACTACTTCAGTTGAAGAGAGAAAGATAATTGCTACTTCCACAGACAACATAAGAAACCAGCATCATTTCAGCCCACAAAGCAACATGAAATGACCACCCACACACCCCATCACATATTTATCTCTTGCAGCTGCAAGACCCTCTTCTGTTTCACTTCCCATTGACCTAGAAAGAAGAACTAATGAATAAACAAAGTCAAAAACAGATGCAAAGGCAGTATGCATAAAAACTGCCACTGTGCTTTAATTCCATCTCCAGTCAGCCATTTGCTGCCCACAGCGCTTCAGTTAAGGAGCCAAGACAGCTCTTTGCAGAGACTGTGGTGGCTCCACATTGGCCAGTACAAATACCTGGATGTGCAGGATGGAAAATGTCAGCCAGGACTCAAAAAGCCCTGTTAGGCCACAGGCAACCTTTGGCCAGTGCTCATCAGATTCCTTCTTGTTTGTCTGGACAACAAGCTATTGGTGATTTCTGACGGCAATCCTAACTGACCAGATGTGTGCTGTGTGTGTCAGATGCCCACTCTCAAAGATTGGTCTGGCAGGAAAACTTAAGATTCATCTATTACTGATACATTTATTTAAATCAAAGTTCTAAAAAAGAAAGCCCATAGGCCAAATTCAGCCTTCAGATGGATTTTGTGTGGGCTACATAGCCATGTATTTATTCATTTTTTTAAAAAAGTGAATGTATTTAGATTTTACCAAATTCTATGGTGTAAATACTCATTCAGTGTCTGATTTGAAGCCACCATCATGACTTTCACAGACAGAATTAGGAGAAAATGTACAATAGTGCACTATTATATAGTGTTTCCAGGCACAATAATACATGTAATAAACTAAAGTGCATATATAATGGTAAAACAAAGCAGAATAATTAGAAAGTGATTAGGGTACTTATGACCTTTGTTTATTTAATTTATTTAATTGTAACTTTTTATAATTTACAATTTAGAATGGCTATATTTAATAAACAGTCCTCTGAATTCCTGAAAATGTAACGCGTGTTTCTTGTAAGTCAGTGTGAGCCAGCAGCAGCTGTCATGACCACAGTTGCTAGAGCCACGATGGTTCAGGCTCTGAAGGTTGAACTTGAATCCCAGTTTTTACATGTAGTAGTTGTGTGAACTTGAACAAGCTACTTAACTACCCAGCATCTTGATTTTCTCAGATGGAAAAACAAATTAGCCATGCCTATTCTGTGAGTCTATAGTGAGGAGTAAATAAAACACTATATGTGAAGGACTTAGCACTATGTTTGGCATGTAATAATCACTCAGTAAATAATGACAATGTATTTATTTAAAATCTAGGTAGTAATTACTTGATTAGATTTACTTTGCTCCCACCTTGAAAACCTTCCTGCAGTGTGTCAGATAAGAAATTTTATGAATAAAGGAGGGAAAGGAACCAGAAAGACCAGAAAAGATTAGAGAGGAGGGTGACATAAGGGCACTGAGATAGAGAGAGAACAATAGAGCATCAAAAGACACAGAATTTTGAATGAGAGAAAGTAGCTCAAAGAATAAAACTGATTTTCCTAGGTCAAGCCATATTTCTACTTTTCATTGGAGATTCATTCTCAGTTTTTTACAAAAGTTGTATAATCTCTACATAAATGATAAAAATAATTGTCTGGAATGGACAAATTCAAACAAGTCCATCCTATCCATTTGGCCCAGATAATTTGATCAATAGTGTTCCTTTGATCCACCCAATTAGGTGCTCTCATCTTGAAATTTGTAATTTATACCCAGAAACTGAAGTGAGTCAGTGTTGGGGGCCATCATCTTAGGCAGCTCATATCAGCCATGAGAAAATGAAGACAGGAAACTAATCTGCTGAGGTGGAGAAAAGCAAAGTGTCAACGTATAAAAATGGAAATGGTTTGTCCCGATATGGAGAAAAGGAGAGAAGAGACAAGGGATAACTCTGCAGTTCTTAGGAAGTCTGGCTGTATCCCTTAAACTTGGTTTTGATTATTTTTTTAAAATATATTTTTATTGATTTTTTTACAGAGAGGAAGGGAGAGAGATAGAGAGCCAGAAACGTCGATGAGAGAGAAACATCTACCAGCCGCCTCCTGCACATCCCCCACTGGGGATGCACCTGCAACCAACATACATGATTAGATAAACCACTTTCTTTATATTTTCTTTACCTACACAAACGTCAGTGGGTATCTATCTAATCATAACAACCAAGCGATTCCTGACCAGATAATCTTGGCCAGTTTTAAAGTTCTATGATAATATACAAAGTCACAGCTTGAAGAGATTAGGTTCCAGCCCCCTTGGTTAATGGCAAATGGACTCAATGGAGCCCAGAGAAATTAAATGACTTGCATCGTCACATGCTTAACAAGTAACAGAGCTTATGCTGAGACTCCATTCAGCTGGGTCCCTGGCGGTGAAATGATAGTGGTACACTTCCAGTTTTGGGGTGACAGCACATTCAAAATCCCCCTGAGAGTGATATTACTCTCATATCTCAGTTTCTCTGTCTGGTGTCTCATTTTAGACATAACATCAGATACAACAGAGCAGAAGCAGGAAATTGGTCTATCAAGAGGTGGGTGAGAACATGGCCTTTACAGTTGGCTTGGCCCACATTTAGTTGCTGACTCTTGCCCCGACAAGCTGTGTGATTATGGGAAAGAAGAATGGCCTATCTAGGCTCCAGTTTATTCTCAGAAAGATGGAGATATAGAAAATAATCTAGTTTTCAAAGTTGTTGGAAGATTAACTAAAATAACACACAAATGTATTAAGTATTCCCCCTGCCATGCACTAAATAAACATTTACTAAATGCTAAACTTGTTCTTAATCTTAGTATTGTCAGTAATAATTGGTCAAGTGGGTGTCAGGAACCAAATCTAGTGGTTTCTGTGTATTTTCACCTTAGGATGCAATGATTTCTTTCCTTTATATAATGATGTAAATTTATATAATCACAAATCATTCCACAGATCATTTATTCAGAAATAGATATTTACTAAACCTTTCCTTAAGGATGAGAAAATAGTTGAGCTTTAATGTGTTTTGAAAATAGAAACTTTTATACTAGGCCATTTAAAATGTGGCACCAAATGTAATAAACCATGAATGTTAATAGTCAGCATTAAAAGTTGGTGATACCTTTCCCAGAGCTTCTATGAGGCAGAGCTAACAATGATCACTAACCCAGCAGCTCAGACAAGAAATACTCTGTAAACACAGCTACACTCCATTAATACAGAAGAGCCAAACTGTTTTCAGCTAAATGGAATGTATAATGCAACGTAATTAAACAAGTAGAGATGGATCAACCTAGCAACTTTAAAGGACATCATTACAGCTTTAAAAATTTCATGATGCAGTGTTTATGAGCAAGGTCATGGTTACCTAGAGCAGCACTTCTCAAGCTTTTATGGCATAAGAATCAAGATGATAAAGTTAAAAGAATGCAATTTTCTTAAAACCACCCCTACATATTCACATTTGATGGTTCTGTAGTGCTGACCAATTATTTATACATATAATTAAGCTCTCTGGGTAATCATATATTCCATGTGATTCTGACAGAACTCACTCTGAGAAACATTGATTTAGAGTCTCAGATAGAATAACCTTTTAGATGGGAAGGAAGACAGTTCCACAGAGAAAACCCTTATTAACAGGCTTAGAATGGAGGGGAATATAATCTTTCAAAATGGAAAAAATAAAACAACTCAAGTTACTCAAATCATCAATTAACTGTACCTTAACTTTCACTGAACCTGAGATGGTGGATTCTGTAGAAACAGCAGGTGTTACTGTGAGCTCTGTCTCAAGGAAACTCAAAGGCCCATGTAGAAGAGTAGAATTATAAAGGAACCTCAGGTTTAAGGAATCATCAAAAGACAAGAGAGGTAGTTTTTCAATAATATACAGATATAAATATTCAAACACACCCAAAGTATTTCTGGAGTACTGACTATCAAGTACTTATTTTGAAATATCTCAAAAACTAAGGTATTCTAATTTTGGGTAATAATATACTTCATCTGATATGCTGTTGTTACACCTACCCAGCCAAGGGAAGCAGCAGCAAAGCTTTCCACAAAAGCCACTGGACTGGCATTTAGGACATTAAAATTCTTATCTCTGATTCCAGCTCACTCTACAATTTTGAGCAAGTCATTTCACTTCTCTGGATATCAGAGAGGTCTTGATATCTCAAAAGTTCCTTTCTATCCCAATGATCTATAACAAAGTATTTACTATGTACCAGGAACTGTTTAAAGTATGTGGGCAAATGGGGAAACAGGGGATAAATGATGACAGAGAGAGAGTAGACTTGATGGTGAAACACTATACTAAATAGAAATGATGTATTATAGAATGGTATACCTGAAACCTATAAATTTTATTAAATGATGTAACTCAAATAGACTCAACAAAATAAATGAACAAACTTGAAAAAAAATTGTGAATCTATTTTATCTTCACAATCTTCCTATGAGTAAGTATCCATTCTCCAATTAACACCATTTTATAGATAAGCCTACTGGAGCACAAAGACATTATGTAACTTTCCTGAGGTCACTGTGCTGATTTATTTGATGTGATAACTTGGTGGACCACAATATACAGATATTTGGTTCAACATTATTCTGAATATTTTTGTGAGGCTGTGTTTGGATGTAATTTACATGTATATTGGTGGACTTTGAAGAAAGCAGATCACCCTCCAAAATGTGGGTGGGCATCCTTCAAACAGTTGAAGTCCTAAATGGAACAAAAGCTGATCTTCCATAAGTTCTAGCTTGCCAGAAGACCACCTTCAAACATCATCTGCAACATAACCTCTTTCTGACTTGCCAGCAGACTGCCTTTGAACTTGGCCTGCAACACTTTCTTGAGTCTCCAATCTGCCAGCCTCTCTTATCAGAGTTTGGATTTACCAATCCTCCAAAACTGTGTGAGCTAATACTTTAAAATAAGTATCTTATACTTGCCTGGCAGGGAAGATACCATGATCACGAAGGTGGAATTCCCAGGGTGAGGCTTAGCCATTGCACTCCAGATATGCTGACCCCTGTGATTTATCCAAATGTGGAAAACTTGACTGCATAGTTTATTGTAGTGGGGGAGTACATTCATATCCCTCCCCCCCAAAAAAAATCTCCTTACACATACACACACACACACACACACACACACATCCACGACATCCATCCTCTTTGCTCTGCTTATCTGGGAAATTCTGACAAATGAAATCACACACTAGATAATGACTACTACTATTGTAGTATTGGTACTACTGGTAGTAGAGCCATGCATTGGAAGATGACAAAGATTTTATTATACCAAAGGTTGGCCAGGAGGTTGGCAAGACTAGTAAATAGAATTTGCTCTTAATGGTTTTACTCTGTAATATACACTGATAATTTCATTCAACTGAGCATAATAAACTCATGAAACATGAAGCTCCAAGAAGTAATACTGAAGAACTTAATATTGTACATGTTTGATAATAAAAAAGTATGTATTTGAGGCACACCCTTAATCTTTCAGAGTTGATTTTAGGAAGTAATAGCCATCTTACAAAAGTCCCTTATTGACAGAGATAAAATAATAATAATAATAATAATAATAATAATAATAATAATAATAATTCTGGACATAAGATAGTCTGACTTATTGTGGTAATATTTTTATATTTATATTTTGGCCTTGCTTTCTACTCAGTAGACACTTTTCTGGAAGTTTATCAAAATACTTGTTAATAGTAAGTGCACTTAAAGCTATCACTTTAATATTTCATCCTATTTTATTTCAATTCATTTACATTATAGTAGATCCTTATGCTTCCTTGGTAATGTGTGCTTATTGTCGATAGGCTTTTTTCAAGGCCCAAATTCAATTCATGACCCTAGAGACATGGCTTCAAACTAGCCCAAGAATAACATCATTAACCAATCACTCATCATCAGTGATCCAAATATGTGGTAAGGAGAGAGAAAGGCATGCATACCCTGCATCTTCTTTTCACTAGAAGTTAGTTTTGGATTCCTACTGAGATCTCAACAAAGATTTTAGATACTCATGAGTAGTTCCTTGTTTCAGATGTGCTTGGTAATGAGGCAAGTGAGGCTTCAATGGTGGAAGTCAGCCATCTGTCTCTACTGTTGATGTCTGGTTCCAACACCTGAGGGCTGATAGCTCAGGAAAGACGGGGACCTCTAAATGAATATAATAGTTAGGGTTCAAGATCATAGGACTCTTTCTGATTTTCATACACGGTTTAAATATTGTCTATAATTTCTGGACCCAAACTTTCAATTCTGAAATTTATGTCATAGTGGAGGAAGTAGAGGAGGAACCATGAGTTGTTCTGTTTCAGACAGAGATGGAGCCATTGCAGCCAGACTGAATCAGTGCAAGAGAGAGGGGTTTGGAACATTTGGTTAGTTTCCTTCCTCTCAAATGTCTAGACATCCAAAGAGACTGTGCAGACTTGCCTTTGACTATTCCCGTTAAAGGTCTCTCTTCACATAAAATGTCACTGGTTATATGGGTTTGTTTGTACTATCTTTGAACTTGATGTATATTATCCTATTTTTGTCAACATCCATTCCCATTTTCTATAAGCTTTAAACTATCCCAGATGTTGAGCAAATGTGAATGCTTTAGAATGTGACTGGCCTCTGTAATCTAGTTGCACAATCACTACTTTCCCTCTCCAAATTATGTGTAACTGTCAATTTTAAGTGTGCACTGTCTGGGACTTTCATATGTTGTACTTTAAGACAGACTCCAACAGTGTAAAAATGTAACTTTGACTGACCACTATTGGTGTCCAAACTGTTTAAAAGGATAATGGACTCTCAGGTCTGCATGCTTATCTGTTCACAATCACTCTGTACTCTAAACTGCGTGTTCCCAATGCAAATCATTTAGTTGCCTGTCAAGGCCTTTCTCCTAGGCTTCCAGTATGTTCTGTACAGAGCCTTAAATATGTCATTATGAATATTAAATATGCAAATCAAGATCATCTGATGCTTATTTTACCTTGGCACTGCAGTGTGACTAACTTCCATGCATCCAAACTCTGCAGACACAATGTCCTGCTTGATAAAACTGTGTGTTATAAAATTACTCCCTAACCTGACAGTACAATGCAGACATGGGTATAGTAATAAAAATGCATGACCCACCTGCCTTTTACTGAAATTTTATATCATCTTTCCTATCCTCAATTTTTGGCAGTAGTTCTATTATTATTATTAGGGGGCAGGGCGGCAGCTACACAAAGAGAAGAGCAAAAAGAACAAAGCTAATACAAAGAACCATTTGCAACACAGTTTTGTGTATTATTTATGAGTTATAGGAACAGGCTGTGTTAACAGACCAAGGAAAGAATATTAAAAAAAGATAAATCAGATAACTTTAGAATACATAGGGTGGGCCTGCAGAAAATACATTTGCTTTTGTCCAAAAACAGATCAATATGCTCCCTTTAAAAGAAGCTTTCTAACATCAATGGCTCTGTCTTAATGCTAGCATTTTAATTGATTTTCCTCCATTCTTTTTGGGGGGTCTTTTTAATGAGCAATTTTGTGTAGCCAAGTTAGCCAGGTAATAGATCTAATTCTATTGATAAAGAAGGTTGAAAATAAATATAGTCCAAAAAATCCAGGTTAAGCTTTTGAATCATTGATTAACCAAATAAAAACCACATCATACTTTTGGTTTAACCACTTGTATAAGTTATGTATCAGGATTTCTTTATAGGAGATGAAAAACTTGATTAATGAAAGCTGCCCTCTGTGGGGGAAAGGAAAAAAAACCTAGTTGTTCCATATGTCATAGAAAGGCTTGATTGGAGACTGGGCAGATGATAATTCTTTCCTTTATGGAGGAAAATTAAATTTATTTCCACAGCCCTTAGACTGATCTCAAAGCGAAATGAATTAATTTGTCTTCAGAATTTTTCTCAGTTTGAGACCAGCTGCATCAGGGTGGACTCATGACTGGTGAAATGGGCCGTCAGTCCAGTAAACTCCAGGACACTGGGCTCTGAGCAAGACCCCGCTGGCCTAGCACACCATTATTAACAATGCAATGGGTCTTTAAATCTTTTGAGTCTTCAAAAGCTGTAATCACTTAAAATTGTAGCTTGATCAAAGCCTTGTGCATAAGAAAAAGAGTACTAAAAAAAGAAAATCTTTTGGAAAATATAATTTTTGCCTTGAGCTAGATCTGAAGCACTAACTATTCATAATCCTCTGGGAGCTTAGGAAAGTACTAACTGTGTTTTCTGCTTAGATATAGAAAGATGGTCAGTTGCTTTTTATTTCTCCATCCCACTCTTGGAAACAGTAATATTGAGGATATAAGCCAGTCGTATTCCAGCCAATGCTCAGCAGAAGATGGCCATGGAGCTCCTTGGCATTCTAAATCTCTTCACTGTCCTTCACTGGTTTGTTGAATATGGACATGTGAAGCTGGGAATGGGTGGTGAATATGAGTATACTTGGGACAGCAGAAAAGTGTGCATTGCTGAAAAAAGGGATGATTAATATTGCTCCTAGGAATTTTCTTATTACAAAACACTGAGATAAGAGAGAGTTGGTGATGGTGAATGGAGAATGTGTCTGGGGATATGGAAGACAGGACTACTCAAGACTTGAAGAATGGATTAGATATACAAGCCCTTCTACTACCAGTATTTGCCAAACAATGTACTGTATGCTGGGAGTAAAAAGACAAGTGGGTTCTTATGCTTTAAATAGTGATGATATAGTCAGAGAGATTTATATTCAAATAGATAACTTTGCAAACAAATGCAATACATGCATTAATATTTGGTACTATGTATAGAACATGGAAGTAGTACAGAGATAGGAGTGACTCATTGTACTGAAAACAAGTTCAGGTTTTCTGTACATTAAGTTGAGATAGAATGTTTATTCAAAATGGACAATGGGCAAGACATCTTAACAGTAGAGTACTTTGTAGCTCTTATCTGGATGGTAATGCCCTCATTTTCAGAGACACAATGTTGGGGTGTTTGAGTGTGTGAGTGTGAGTGTGTGTGTATGTGTGTGTGTGTGTGTGTGTGTGTTAAGTGAAGAGGGTGATGAGGGCGATGAAACAAATGTTTGTGTCCTTTTTTCCTCTCTGCTTCCCATTCTTTGTAATGAAATAAATTCTTCTTAAAGATCTTTGTTATTACTTCCATTTGTGGACAAAATTTGACTTTTATAGGCTTATTCTGATAACTAAACCAGAGTAAGTGAAGTGGAAACCATATAGATTCATAACTAAGATATGTAATACATTTGCACAAAGCATATAATTTATTCCTTAAGAAAAATTTCATATGCAAGAGAATCATTTTTTTCCTGACCTCACCTGAGAAGAAATTGGATTGAAAGAAACTCTGACGACATGAAAGAAATCAAGCCAGTTTATAAGAGGCATTTGGAAAATCATTTGATACTTGTTCATTCCGACACTACCCAAACACCAGAAGCATTGGCAGAAGCAAATGAAAATAAGGAACAAAAACACCAAAAAAGAAACAGAAACTTCTCTTAAGAGAGAATGCAGTATCAAGTATAGCCCTCAAAAGGGAAGAAAGGGGAACAGATCAGCACTAATGAAAGGAACTTTCTGCCATGATGGGGATGTTCTACATCAGTACAATGCAGTATAGTAGCCATTAGCCACATGTAGCTAATGAGCACTTGAAATGTTTCTAGTGTGACTAAACAACCAGATGTTTATATTTTCTTTAATTTTAGCTAACTTAAACAATTACATGTGGCTGGTAGCTTCTATCTTAGACCAAATCTAAAAAATAGCATTATGGATGAGGAGTTCTGCTTCAAAATTAATTCATTAGTTTATGAATTAATTTTTATTAAATATCTCCCCTGTATTCCTATTTTCTTATCTGTAAAATGGTTTTAACAATTAATAGCCTTAAAGAAAGATGCAATGACATAATATAATCTCATGTGAGTTCCTTATGTTAGGTCTTATTAATAAACTAGAGGCCCGGTGCATGAAATTCGTGCACTTGGCGGAGGAGGGGGGGTCCCTCAGCCCGGCCTATGCCCTCTCGAAGTCAGAAAGCCCTCAGGGGATGTCCAACTGATGGCTT